GGCGGAATTTATGAAAGCTGTGAAAAAGCTAAGGCGCACCTTTTTCGTTTCTTCCACCAACTTCTCCATGAAATCGTCATGAATGCTGTTGGCAACGAAAATTCTTCCAGCTGCGATACAGTTCTCACCCTTGTTGAAGAACACCTGTAAGACTACAATTTTACAGGAGGTGGAAATTTCTTCAGGAAAAAGGATAAAAGGGTTGAAGGGCTTATCATCAAAAACTGGCTTTGCAGAGATTATTTTTTCCCCTGCCAGCTGGGAGAGCGGGCAAGAGAATCGTAATTTGCCGCTCCGCCGCGCGCGGCGATGGGCGCGGCGTTTTCTTAACTCGTGTTAACCTGTCGATTGGAGCACCGGACTTCATGTAGACCCCGTCATCGTAGACATTCATGACTATTTTCGGTTCTGAATTGCCTGTTGTCGCCATCTACTACCTGGAACCATCGTCATTTGCGGGCGCGACGTCGCACGCGACGCCACCAGCGCGGAGAATTACGATTCTCTTGTCACATACCGCCAGCTAGAGTAGCGCTCGAACAAGAACTTGAAATAAGTGACCCATTTTTTTCCCATGGATCACCGCCACTAAGAGAGGTCAGTCTACTGTCTTGTGACCACCAAAGCACGCCTTTCCGTTGTGGAAAAATTCTGCAAGAATGCAACCCCTTTTTTTATCTGGTACGACTCTCTCCCTCCCCGATCCTACGTGCTAAGGTCCTCAATCTTACCTCTTTTTCGGAACTTTTTTCCGAAATCTCTCCACTTTTTCCCAAAAACTGTCGGCGGGGGGAGGGGGAAAGGTTTAGGGGTAAGTGGCACATGTGCACCAAGGAAAACTGAGAAAACTCCGCAACCGGGTATCCAATGCAATTACGACCTGGCTGCCTCCCTTTCAATACCAAGAACGACTCCACCCGCTGGGGATCCCTACGAGGCGTGCTCTGGTGGGCACTCATGGGAAAACTGATTCGGCAGTCTGAGAGTAATAGGAAAACTTGCAAGATGAGTAAATAGAAACAAACCGCATTGCAGGTCTGCTTGATAGCTTTGTCAAGGTCTGCGTCGGCGAAAACGATTAATGGCGATTTACCTCCCAGTTCCAAAGACACTTTTTTGACGTTTGATTTGGCGCAGCTGAAAAATAACGCAATTATTAACGAAGCTCGCTTTCGCTAGTTCTTTTTTATTTATGTTAACCAACAAGTCTCAATTTAATGAGATTTGTAGACTTATTTGAAATTTTTTTGAATGAGCTAATTTGGTCACAGCGAATTGCAGGTCATCACCGTGGTCTTTATAAGCTTAGCTGAGCACAATTCGATGACCCCACCAAGCCGAACACCCGAAATTGAATAAGTTGTGAACAACTAATCAACTTAGCAGCAATAGTTTCAGAAGCGAAGAAATGTAGATTTTTGCACCACCAACTTTAACAGAAAGCTAAATGGAAAAGCCATACCTGGCCATAACCTGAGCGCCGATTTCGGTTGATCCAGTGAATCCGATTTTTCGCACGTCTGGATGATCCGAAAGGATTTGTCCGACTTCTCCTGAAATGACAAGTGGGCAACTCCAGGTTCAGGTAATTACTCAAACCCGAGCCACAAAAAGCAAACCTCCCGATCCAGTTACAATGTTAATTACTCCGGGAGGGATTCCGGCCAGTAACTGATAGTTCGGCGAATTTCAACGCAGTAAGTGGTGTCACCTAAATAAACAAATTTGTTCGATTTTTTGGACCGTGAAACAAAGTATCCCTCAAATTTCTCATGAAAGCTCACCTGAGCCGGTTTGTGAACGACCGTGTTTCCGGCGGCTAAACAGGCAGCCATTTTCCACGATAGCATCATAAGCGGGTAGTTCCAAGGTGTGAATCAGACCGACCACACCGACTGGCTCACGCTTTGTCAGTGTCAAGTTGAAGTTGGGTCGGGCGTTTGAAATTGGGATTGTGTGGCCCTGAAAGCGATGGATGCAGGTTCACCTTAATACCGTCTATTCTTCGCATGCTCCGCTTTGGCTTCC